TAAGTTTACAAAAGCGGTTTCGCGTCTTGTTTTTTTTTAGCTGCATGTATCAAATCCCTGCACGAGGCTCGTCGTCATCCTCTGCAGCCAGAGACAAAAGCTGGGTAATAAATAGCATATAGAATCACGTATTAAAACGTCACTAAACTAGATCACCCCATGATTGATAGTGTTTTGGACAAGTGACCTCTTGGCAGATACGTGGATGATGCTGTTCCATCCTGTTTTGGATACGTAATAGTAGCGATGCTCGTGACCACAATGTTACAACAGAGCCTTTGACCTTGTTCTGTTTCGAGTAATCAAATCTCTGTATTGAGGTTTGAATTGACGCTGCTCCCTTCATATCAAAGAGTGTACCTAGATAGACGATGCTTTTCTATGGTCGAGAAAGCCATTCAAGCCACAAAGGGGAAACGATGAAGTCAAGCCCACAATTCGCACGCGTTCGAGACTAAAGCCACACTCGCACGTGGCCGATTCTTCTACATCGACCTAATCCTGTTTCTGTGCAAGTAGTGAAACAAATTCCCCGATTCGGAGTTCAAACACGGGAGCTATATATTTCCAATACTTTTAAGTGTCTTTTAGGTCCGGATAGTTTGCGTAGCGGGCCAGAGATTGATTGCAGAAATCGACGAAAATGATTAAAATTACTGTGAAAGGAAACTGTGTTGGTCTAGTTGATGCTGTATATGATTCAGGAGAGGGTCATGCACGGTCTCATGTCGAGTAGAACGCCAAACTTTAGTAAATGACCACAACCACAGTTTTGTTGCAGTGTTCTACAGTGAATGGGAACTTACCCTTCTCAGGTAAATTATTCATAGCAGATTGGAAAAGGCTATTCCTAGAAGAGTCACAGAGGTGATGCATAACTTAGGTATTGATGAATGGTGTAGAGACGGTTGCTAAATGGTTCTCTCAATGTTATCTGACCTACCTCTAATATCCGTATCCAAGGCCGCATAGCAGGATCGAGAGGCAGGGATACATCGCCGTCCATGAAATACTCAGTACTCCCGACAAAAGGCGCAAACGTTTTCATGTGTAGCACTGAAGGGTTGGTAGCATGATCCAAGGTAGGTGGTGCTCGCACCACTGGTACAAGTGCCTAGCGTGTAGAAAAAGGAGTTCTGTCAACGTTTTGCGCCGTCTAGCGTCTAACCCTTGACATGGGCACGGGAATCAATGGTTCTTTTGCGAATTACTCGTTCTGGTAGTATCAAGAGTGGTATGCTAGAGAAGATGGGTCGGCGGTTTGATATGGCCATGCATGATGCCGCTGTCGTACCGTGGAATCAGTCCGCATCGAGACAGGAGTTGTTTCTGAGTATAACCGAGATTTGCTGCAGTATTCAACATGTGCTTCAAGACTTGCTTTCCACGGCATATCTACTACGCCACCGAGAGGGAGCCGAGTCAGCCACAGGTACCCGTGCCCTTAGGGGTTTCTCTTTCCGCGGAGCCCATAGGTGCATCCTTCTACCGTCGGACCGCATTGCGACCGCAAAAGATCCGCCATAATCCACACTTTTTGATCCAAACTACCTTCTCAGGAAGTTGCCACCAGAAGTTGTGGATGTTGAAGGATCAGTATAGTGATGCGGCGAGGTGGAGTTTCAAGGATGTGATTTGCCACTATTCCGGGCCGTCGCGCTTGGCCTCGAGGGACTGAACACCGACCGCCCTGGCTGTATTCCACGGATTTCTGCTGTAATCGACACCCTTCTGTTGAACCTACCCTATCGAGAAACTGATCATGCATTAACACTCGGTTTGGTTCGACGATCATACAGGGTAGCTTGATGAGCCAATTGGATTTGCTAGTCGTGTTGCGGGTGATTGTACGGAGGGGGGAGCTTATGTCGCAGAAGTCCAGAGAGCAGCTGCTATGAAGAATTGGCGGTTCTAACATGCTCTTATACCAAAACAATATTCTTATAGAAGTGTATAATACATGTGCAATAGCAGACTGTGAGGAAATGTGAATAGCCTGGAAGCTGCGCGTTGGAAAGCGCATCAGAAGTGAATGTAGCCAGGGTGCGGTAGATCATTGATGGGCAGTAGAAGCGGCGCCAAAGGTGATCGTGTGCCAAGTATCAGGTAGGTTGTGTTCTGGCCACGAGAAGGTCCTTTTGTCGGTACCCAGTCGGATGCTGATTGCTGGAAATGCCATGTCATGGTAAACGCCGGACGAAAGTGAAAGTTGGAGAATGCTTACTGCAGTGGCAAGTGTGGCGGTGCGAGCCCATGTGAGCAGCTCTAGCCACGGTGACTTAGTTGACAGGAGCACAGTGCAAGCAGCGGCTGTAAAACCCTCTGACCTGTTCACCGCAGCGTCTTGTCTCCCCCTCTTCTTCTTCTTCTTCTTCTTTTTCTTCCTACTCGCCTAGAACACAATATGCTGCGATGAGTCTCTTTTCTTCCTTTATCATTCAGCCCGTGGTGCGTCATGCTCGTCGATTCTCAGGCGTTGTCCAAGCGAGTGACGAGGGCAATCGGCCGTCTCTAGCATGTGATAATCGCGACTCCGTACCCATTCCACCTCCACACCGCGACAGCATCGGCAGCGCACGTGAAGACGAGGATGCCGAAGCGACTTCAGCCACACGACCCACTGTCCCCATCGAGCTATTTGACAGCTTCTCTTCTCTCGCTCGGCAGCCTCGCAGCGCTGTTGTTGAGCGAGCAGATGGCCACGACCATGTACCAATAGACACCCCAGTCGAAATGGCCGCAAATCGATCCGATACCCTCGCAGATCAGCTCGGCCGCATCCAGCTAGACCCGTCATCATCACCAACTGCCCTGCCGCCGCCTCCGACATCGACACAAGGCCCTCCTGGCAGCACGCCCAGCCAGAATGCCACGGCCATGTCGGAATCACTCCCCGCAGACGATGGCATGGCCCATCTTCGCACGCGTATCCACGAGATCAGAGCAATGGCCATTCCGGACCAAGATCGTGCCCGCATGATTCACGGCTTGATGACGGAAAAGTACAACTTGATGCGGCCAACGTCTCCTGCCAGTCTCGTATCACACGACCGTCCCTTCACCCCCACCTCTGGAGAATCCCTCTTTTCCGAAGTCCACGCTTCGTCGCCCTACTCATCCACCTCCGATACGAACCCGGACATTCCCTATAACCTGCGCGAAGGCGACACCAATCCAACGTATCGACCCCAAAACCACCACCACAACAACAACAACGGAGAGCATGGCGAGGAAGAAGAGGACGATGTCATTGAAGGCGAACTTGTCCTTGGTTGCCAACACTATAAGCGCAATGTCAAGGTGCAATGTTTCGAGTGTCGTCGCTGGTACACCTGTCGGCATTGTCACGATGCAGTCGAAGACCACAACTTGAACCGAAAGATGACACAGAACATGCTATGTATGCTGTGCGGGACACCCCAGAAAGCGGGTGACGTCTGCACCAATTGCGATACTGAGACTGCATGCTATTATTGTGACATTTGCAAGCTCTGGGATAACAACAGCAAAAAGAAGATTTATCATTGCCCAGACTGCGGCATCTGCCGGCGAGGCGAAGGTCTGGGCAAAGACTTCTATCATTGCAAGGTAAGTCTATCATTCTCAACTTGTTTAGTACCACGCTCACAACTCTCAGAGCTGCAATGTCTGCATCTCCATTTCCCACGCAACCACTCACAAGTGCCTGCCACGTGCCACTGAAGGCGACTGTCCCATCTGCGGTGACCACCTTTTCACCTCGTCTACTGCGGTCGTGTCAATGCCTTGTGGTCACTATCTGCACAAAGGCTGTTATAATCTCTACATGCAGACTGCTTATAAATGTCCCATATGCAAGAAGAGTGCCGTGTGTATGGACTTGCAGTGGCAAAAGTTGACTCAAGCAATTGAAGGCCAACCAATGCCAGAGCAATTTGCAAACACCCGAGCAATTGTGCAATGCAATGACTGTTCGGCAAAGTCTTCGGTCAAATATCACTGGCTTGGAAACCAGTGTTCAACATGCGACTCATACAACACAAACGAACTCCGTATCCTGAATGGGCCAGAGAGTGAAGAGGTCGCGAACGCGATCCTGGATGCAGACATAGATTCCGGATCGCGATCACCTGTAAGCGTCAGCTCACCGTCGTCCCAAGCCCCACTTCGTTCGCCTCGATACTATTTCCAGCCGGATGAACCAGAAGAGACATGGCTTCCAGGTCAGCTACCCTCTTTTCCATTCCAAATGCCACAGTTCCCTGGAAGGCCCCGGATGTTGCAGATGCCTCAGATGCCTCAGATGCCTCAATTCCCGTCTCTACCAAATTTCCCACAGATGCCCCAGTTCCCGCAAATGCCACAGATGCCGCAGATGCCTCAGATGCCCGATGCGGCGCAGCAGATGCTGGAGCGGGTCCGCAGGTCATTCGATACTTACCTCAACCCCACCGGAGATGTCCGCGCCGAAGACGTACCGATCATCGACCTGGGACATGAGGAGCGCACTGAGCGTTCGGCTACGGATGGTACCAAGGTTAAAGAACCATCTTTACCTCAGTATGTCTTGGAGCGCTTTACCCAGTCCCTGGTCCGCTTCCGAAACGATCTTAACCCGGCATTATTCGAGGACATTCCAAATCTGGATTTGGCTGAAGACCACGACCCTGATGGATTGCAATTTTGGGGCGAAGACGGTGGACGGCTTAATCGCTTCGTCAACGGTGATGATGATGACGAAGAGGAAGAGAGCGATAGTGATGACAGTGAGCATTTTGACGAAGATGAAGAGGAGTACGATGACGAGGATGATCATGAGGAGACAAAGGACAAGCAAAAGCATGGCAAAAAGGAGTTTGATCTACCAGGCCACATCTAAGGCGCATACGGGTGTTCTGGGCATGATAAAAGTGTGTGGTGTGTTGCGTTAGCGGGGCGTACTTGCGGCATTTTGATTGAAAGGTTAGCATTGTAAGAGAGTGCGTTGTATTTGGACTCGAATACCCAAGTAATGATACAGCATGACTAAACAAAAGCTCGCCTTTGATGGAGTCGTGCCTCACGTGTTTGTGTGGTCCGTGCGTCGTGCGCTAAGTAAGCGACCACAGCGATTTTCGTGTGGTTCTGAAATTCCGAATTCTACGCCTCACCTCGCATCCTCAACGTCGACTAACCCCACAGCGAGACCCTCTGTCCGTACGTACCACGATATTCCCATTAGTTTTGTTTTATTTGCGTATCTTTGGCATTGCTGCGACAGCGCGCTGTAGCAGCTGCGGAATCCGAGCTGTGCCAAAAGGCTATCAGAGGACTTGTGCTAACGTGATCTCTGTATAGAAATGGCTCCCACCACCAAGTCCGCCGGCAAGAAGTCTGCCGGAAAGACCGGCCGCAGCGCGATCGCTGACGTCGTCGCCCGCGAATACACGATCCACCTCCACAAGCGCGTATGTTGATTCAGTTTAGTGAAGTCCACGGATGGTCTCGCACAAGCTTGGAGGGGCGCTCAGTCAGGCCGATGACACTGAACTGGGTGCCCATACTCGCGCATGCAGGCATCGGGCGGAAGACTGAAGGCGAACATTAGGCTAATAGATTGGGGATATAGGTCCATGGCGTAAGCTTCAAGAAGAGGGCCCCCAGGGCTGTCAAGGAGATCCGTGCTTTTGCTAAGCAGGCTATGGTACGTGGGCACCGAATCTAGTCGGAGGGCAATGTCTGGTGACTGCTGGCATGGCCTCTGCTGGGACATTTTTGTGGAATATGGAAGTGGATGCTAATGTTATATTAGGGCACCAACGATGTCCGCCTTGACCCTCAGCTCAACAAGAAGGTCTGGGAGTCTGGTATCAAGGGCGTCCCATTCCGCCTCCGTGTCCGCATCTCGCGTAAGCGTAACGACGAGGAGGGTGCCAAGGAGAAGCTCTACTCCTACGTCCAGGCCGTCAACGTCAAGGACCCCAAGGGTCTGCACACCCAGATCGTCGAGGATGCTTAGATGGGATTGCTAAGGGAGGGAATGTAAGATGTGCATATCAAAAGCATGGCGTTCCGGCGGGATATGCTGAGTAGCTACTATGGATATGTAGAGCGAAAAGCTGGTGAAATGATACCTCAATGACAGATCATGCCCCGCCACGTTTGATGGTTCAACCAAGTTTTGTTTTGACCCAATTGACGTCTTTGCCCAGGATTTGTTTGACGTGTGATGTGTGGTATGTGGAGTGAGTTGTGGCGCATGTGTGGATGGTACTCTAGGTATGGGATTGCTACTACCGAGCGCTGTGCAGGAAGTAGTGGGCAATGGAAGAATGGAAGCGAGGGTGTTGACATGGAGGTTCAAGTGTCAGGTGGCGACTCTTTGACCATTGCCTCGTGGTCAATGACACTGATGGTTACTTATGTAAGTAAGGGTGACGCAGGTTAGGCGAAAGAGGTACCATGGGATTGTGAAGTAAGTAGGAAGAAAAGTCACATGGGGATCTAAGCAGTGGTGTGATGTGTGCAGAAGGCGGTTGAGCCCTTGTGTTTTGTTGTTGATATTTGTCATTTTAAACGTACTTATTAGACGACTCAAGTATATCGACAGCTACTATGGCTACTGACCTCGGCTGAGGCGCGAGAAATAAATGGGTGGGGGAGCACAAGATGACCATGGCGTTTTGTTGCAATCTCCATGGTAGTTTAGCACCAGCACCAGCACCAGCCGCTGGTTCGACTGGTGGTCCACTTTGTGCCAGAGCGGCAGCGGGCCTTTGTACAGCATGTGCTTGTCGATCGGCTGGAAATTGTAAGTAGTCAGTCGTTTAGTGTAGTGTATTGTAGTAGCTTGTCGGCGGTCCAGGCCGAGAGGTGGACATGGATGAGGCTAGAAATGAGGAGAAAAGGCTGAGATGTGCTGTCTACTGGTGATCCGAGGGCAGCCGATCGGCGCGTTGATTGTGCGGAGAAAGGAACCGAGATGGGTCGCCGTATGTGTCTGGTGATGCTATAGACGAGACGCGACGAGGTGGGCGTCGCCATGGAAGCCATTGGCGTTAGTAGTATAGCTCTGGCTTGGCGCCTGTTTGGTTTGCCACCCCTGTTGCAGCAACGGCTCACCCCAGCCAGAGACCCTGTGCTCATCATACCAACACCAATTACAGCCCGTCTCATCAAGCGAGGGCCAGCCGCCAGATGCTGGTCGCACTCGGGTGTTTGCACGACAAACCAGCCTCGTTCTTGGCCGTGAGTTTGGCCCAACACGAGATGGATGGACGCTGGCGCTGACACTCTCCGCACACATCGATCGAAGCATATACACAGCCACCGACACAACGGTTTTTTTCGAGGCCCTGGTTGATCAGTTCACCCCACATGATTCCTAGTGCTTGCATTAGCACACGGTGCCCTTGTGATAGAAGCGAGTATTGGATAGGAGGCGAAAACGTCCATGCGGGAAGGGAAAGGCCCTCTTGGTGCATTGAAAATCACTAATTTTGGGGGCTTGCAGCCGACATGCTAGGCCGATAGAGTGCCAGGTAAGCTCCGATGGCGCCTCCGCCAATCTCTACCGCGTTAGCACGCCTGACATGGCGCAGGGTGAGTGCTGGGAATGCACTGATGTTTCTAGCATCACACTAGTTCCGGGGAGGGAAAAAGGGTGGGCTTCACGGGTATTGGGTCTGCGCGCGCGCTGAATGGGCAAGACGAGAAAAGGAAGGGAAGAAAAGGAGCTAAAGCCAAGGTGCATGCACATGTCGTGTTTGTGCGCTGTCGACCCAAGAGGCCTGGTCTGAGAGTCTCTCGCTGTGCTGTGCCGGGGGGGGGGGGGGGTGGCGCCCAGAGAGCATTTGTTTAAATGTCTCCCCCAGACGGCCTTCCCGCCTGCTTATCCCCCCTCCCTCTTCGTTGCTGTTCCGTCGTTGTCGTCGTCTCACCCCAAAAAATAACCTTAATACCCCATCATTCGCTCGGGGTTACTCTCGCTTTTACAACTTTATAATACTCTTTTAATCAACTCAGGCGTCGCTGTTTCCCGTTCCACCAAGACCCTGTAACCTTTACGTTCGAGTCAAATATCATCAAGATGCGTTTCTCCACCGCCGTTGCCGTTGCGCTCTCTGCCTCTGTCAGCCTTGTCGCTGCCCAGGACAAGTGCGATGCTCAAAAGTACGTTTATTTTTTTTTGGCTCATACGCATCATTGCTCCCACAGAACAACACGAACTTAAACTAACCCCTTGCTTCAGCATCGTCGACACGTGCGTTTCCGGCTACCAGTCGCGCATCGATGCCTGCAACAAGAAGGGCAACGACTTCATCTGCCTGTGCGACGTCTACCGTGATGTCCTCGTCTGCTACAACAACTGCCCCGACTCGCTCGACAGGCCCCCGGTCGAGAACACCGTCACCTCGTACTGCAATGCCGCTGAGCCCCTGCGCGCCGCTGCTTCCAGCTCCATGGCTTCCGTTGCTAGCGTAGCCGCTACACAGTCGCACGCTTCGGCTACTAAGACCAGCGAGCCTACTGCTACTGGCTCTGGCTCTGGCTCGGCCAGCTCTACTTCCCCAACTGCCCCTGCTTTCTCTGGTGCTTCCGGTGCCGACAAGAACAGCATCAAGGCCGGTGCTGCTCTCCTTGCTCTCGTTGGTGCTGCCGGACTTTTGTAAGATGGTGGTAGAGTTTGAGAGGGGGTGACGTTGTGGGTGTGTTAGTGGGTTGGAAGTGTGGATAGGATCAATTTCAATCGGGATAAGCATTTGCTATGCCTGTTGGATCACTTGTTTTTTTTGGTCTTTTTTGCCGTGTCTTTCTTGCTTGTGATTTTTGTGTATTGCATTTTTTGAGCCTTGCGTGAAACAGATATCACTCTTTTTTAAACAAAGTAAATCCATTCTATGCCTGATCAAAGCAGACGTGCAGAGCAACTGACCTTGTATCAGATCATGCATCTCACATTCCCTTTTACTCTTTAATCCTCCCATCCTTGACCATCTCCCTAATAGCATCAATACTCGAATCCACCGCCTTCTTCGCCATCTACATCACAACGTTAGCCTGTGTGCACTTCCCCACACAAAAAAAAGGTTCACCCGGTTCTCCGCATCTCTCTCCTCCCCCCCCCCTTGCTCTTAGGTAATCCCCAGCCCTCCCAACAAACTCGCCACCCAAAAGGTCCAAAAAAGTAAGCAAAAAAGAAGAAAAAGAAAAGAACTTACCCCCTTGAGCTTCGCCAACTCCTTGTCCGCCTCCTCAGTCCCTTCCTGCACATTAGGCAACCGAAACTCAAACACATACGTCATGTGCAGATCCTCGACACCACCCGATGCCCCCTCTGAGATGATATTGCGAATATGCGATCCATCTTCTTGTTCAAAGTCGACCTAAAAAAAACCCCATATACCCGATTAGCATATATATATATCCACCTTCAAATCCCCCCCCCCCCCAAAAGTCGAATGAAAGGAGAAAGAAGGACGTACCCAAGCCGGCCAAAACCCCCTCACAACCTCCCTCGCCCGATCCTTAGGTCCCATACCCGGCTTAAACACTACATCGCGCGTCACCACGCCGTCACTGCTTTCCTCGAGTACAGTGCAACTTTCAATTACGGGCACGAATTCCTGTGCGTACCGGATTTTGCGTTGGAGGCCCGCCCAGAGTTGGGGTTGCGTGAGGATGGGGGTCGCGCCGGGGGGGTTGATGCGGGATGTGTGGGCGAGGTTGAAGTTTACCATTTTTTCTTGTCTTTCTTCTTCTTCTTTTTTTCTTTTACACCAAGGGCTTTGGGTTATTCTGTAGTATATCTTTTACGTCGTTATTGTTGTTGTTGTTGTTGGAATGGGTGGAGGTCAAGTTGTTTTGATACGTTCTTTTCTGAAAGTGGGGTGGGGGGGAGGGGAAACCCGGTTAACTATGAGATGCTGTTATGGTGGAAGAGGAGAAATAACAAGACGGATGATGCAACAACTATATACCTGCAACCTCCAAACTCACTCCTCCTCACACCACACCACCACCCCCGAGTTGCCGAAGTGCGAAGATAGATAAGCAAGGACTCATGAGCTAAGCAAGACGGTTTACCCCGTCTCCATTCTTCGGCTCCACACATATGCCGTCCGAACATGCACATAACGCATGCCCAGCTTTTTCTTGATTTTTGCTTACACAATCCCTCGCTGTTACGGTGTTAACGAATGCGCCCCCACAACTCCATGTTTGTCATCCACATACCCAAACATACACACACAAACACAATATCTATGCATAAAACAACCGGTTTTCTACTACTAGAGAGGGGAATTGAACAATATACAACAAAGATTCTTCGTCAACAATAATCGTTATTCTTCATATTGACCCCGCGCTCAGTGTTAAAAAAAAAACCCCCCAATAAAAAGCGCTACCCTTTCCTCGTCCCGTCTCAAAGCATCCCCCCAAAACGCCCATGGAGCACTTGCATGTCCTCGCAAGCCTACAACATATCCTCCCCTCCCCTACAATGCAGTAAAGCGAGCCAGGTCAAATATAGTGCGGAAAACTGAAGAGCATCATATACGATCCAAAAGAGCGCCTTTTTTTTCTTGCTCGCCAGACTAGTTGAAGCTCTTTTTTTGACTTCGTGTATTTTATACACTGGCAAAGAGCCAATAGAGGTCTCCCCCCAACCTAGGACCGCCATGGCGGTTCATGCGCAATATCCCAATGAGAAATGTGTGGTTTTACTCCTGACCAAAGCCGACAGTTTCTTCAACAGCAATGGTGAGTTTCTGGTTGAGTGCCTCATACGTCTTGTACGGCGGTAGATCGAGACGGTTGAAACTGTTCATCTGATTAGCTCCTGTCATGTTGTAACGTTTGCTCAAGCGACATACCATGTGTGAGACTTTGGCAGTTGGTTTGGCTCGCCAGCCTTCTCGATTGTAAACCTTCTAGGACCATCACTACCCTGCAAATCCTTGAATCCGTTGACGGGAATACGCGATGTACCCGTGGCGAACTGCAATAGACGAGACTTTTGTTCAGCGTCCCAACTGCGAATGCACTTCCAGAAGTTCTGGATAACTTCGTCATTCTCCGTGTAACCGCGGTAGTCGGTGTGCTTCTTCCAGTCATCCACGTCGATGTCTGCTATACCACCGATAAGCAACTCGAGTTCACGCTCATCGAAGACGTTGACGAGATCAGCGGGGATCAGCTCGTGGAAACCAGTAATGAAGGCCTGGAATTGTTCTTCGACACGTTTTTGAATACGCCATTCCGTAATGAGTCTATTGTGGTCAGCATGCCTATCTGGTAAAGTTCAAATCGGATCTACGTACTCGACGTATTCGTGCTTGTTCTCGTTCGTGACCTCGATGTTTTCACCTCCGGGCTTCAGCTCAATGCTGACGGTCTCACCAAAGCGCTCGTCGTCGGTTGAGAATGTCAATTCCAGGGCGTCTGTAATGTCATTGTTCCTGTCATCTGTTAGTTTCGCATCATTCACTAATGAAACCGCAGACCTACAGCATCCACTCCAAGTTACGATGGAAATCGGCGTCTACACCCTCCATATCCTGTAGCGAAACCTTCTTTTTAAGGATCATCTTGTAGAACGCTCCAATGAAAAAGGCATCGAGGAAACGACGGTGGAAGATGGCCAAACCCACAACACGACCAATGAACTTGAAGTAGTTCAAGTGCTCAGGGTTGATACCGGAGTGGGGGTTGATCTGGAGAGTGTAGTTGTCGTGTGCGGAATATTCAAACAAACAATAGAAGGGATTAAACATCTCGTGGGAGAGCAAGAAGAAGAATTCTCGAGAAAGACCTCCGTAATCAAGACCGTCTTCACCATCAAACTTGATCATCAGTCTCTTCTTGAGGTCGGCAGCGCTCTGTCGCATGATCTCGTGGTAAGAATCCTCGAAAATATGCGATCGGCGCACCTTGACGTGACATTGACCACTAACAATGCGGAGCGCTGGCTGCGATCGGAAGTAAATGAGCTTACGACGGAAATCGCGCTTGTATTGTGGCACGTTCTGATCCAGTGAAGAAGGTAACCTCGGGTCATCCCACGTGGTAGTCTTTGTGTTGTGGTCCACAAAGTATACTCTTGCCGTGTTGGTGAGACGCATTTCCCATCCTGAAGGCAGTGGGCCAAGCTGGGAAACGGGCTGCTGCTGAATGGTGCTACCGTTGGCAGCCTGACCGCCGTACATGCGGATGTATTGTTGTCGGCGAGGATCCACCCATGTTGTCGTTCGTGTGTTGTGGTCCACAAAGTACGGTCGACCTTCGGGTGTATGACGCTGCTCCCAACCAGACGGAAGCTCTCCTGTACCAGCAGTGGTTGCTCCCGTTGCCATCATGCTCGCGGCATTCGCTGCCGAGCCGCTGGGCGGCGATGGCTGGCGCTCAGTCAGGGTAGGCGAATTGGCACCTGTTCGGTCCTCTGGTAACATGCGATTCTGATGTCGCATGCGTTCCTGCTGCGTCTGCGCTGCTACATCTCGACGTTGGTCTGCCTCGTTGAAACCCGCGCCCGGTCTGATCCATGTAGTTTGCCTGGTGTTGTGGTCGACGTAATACGTTCGTCCCAAATGATCTTCACGGCGCTCCCAACCATTTGGCAGTCTCCCTTGCGCATCCTCGAAAGCGCTGTATGTGGCACCGGCACTGTTGCGAGCTGGAGGCGCCCCGTTGGGTGCAGGCCCAGGCCCCGCAGGTGGGCCAGTCGGTGCACCTGCTGGAGGGGCTTGACTCTGGCGCTGGGGAGCGGCTTGACTGGCGGCCGAGGCTCGATTGCCTGGATACACATCGGGAGGATGGAGGTTCGAAGTCGAGTGCTGTGGGGTAGAGACAGCGCCGGGGATGGAGCCGTTGACGGACGGGTGCGGGGACGCATTCGGGCGGGTGGCATTCTGGGATCCTTGGCTGATGGGTGTAGATAGATTAGTAGAGAGGTTAAGAATGAGCTTGCCGTGAACGACCATGTTGTCGTTGGACTTTTTGAGATCGCGCGTAAGCATCTCTGGACTCGAGTTAGCAGGTGCGCTCTGTGCCGGAAGGGTCCCACCTACCGTCTCCGCCAGCGTCAAGATCTATTACTGACCCGATGCGGACGTTGATGACACCCAAGAAGCCCTGGTCCTTCTTCTTGAACTTCTTCTGGTCAAATATTTGAACCGCCAGGACGCTTTCTTCGTTCACTCTCCTGTACCCATGTGTTAGTGTCGATCGAAAGCGTACGGGGGATTGTGGTTGTGGCGGGGGGGGGCGTATGTGACGTACATGTCGAAGCTCTCGTTCCAGTAGGGGTTCAGCGTCTTCTTGATGACGCTCGTGGTGCGCGTCTGCTCGCCATTGATGGTGGCTACGGCGAAGGGGTCGGGAAATCCTGTGGGGCATACATGAGCGACGCGACCAAGGCCAAGTAGGTGAGGGCATACGTACGGAACACATCGCGCTTGTAGAGACCATCAGCGGCAATGACTGCATGGTATTAGCTTCTGGCAAAGCCCATAGGGAGAAGGCTTGTCGTCCGGTGGGAGGTGGGACGTACTGGTGATGCGCAGGTTGGGCTGGCCTGCGCCGTCCATGATGCTGGTGGTGCGCAGTGATGCAGCGCAGGATCAAGGCACAAGGAGCAGCAGGACACGGGGCGACGGGGTTGCGAGGGAGG